TTGGGGTTTTGTATTGATGTGCTCGTGTTCGCTTGGCCCGTTTAAACCTGTGCTCTTATTTTAATAATAAATTTTATGGAATTATTTGTATTGTTATTTGTTAACATATTGCCACTGTTATCGGCTCTGTCTTTTTTTGCATTACTGTTGTTGTTGTTGTGTATACTACTAGTGTACTTGATAATTTTTATTAATTTTCATCATTGTCATAATGAACATCATTATTGTGTTGTTTGTACATGTATATATATATGTATATGTACATACATATGTATACATATTTTTTTTTTATATATTATTATTTTTACTGTTGCGCTCTTATCGTTGCTGTTACAATTGGTTGGTTGGTGGTCTGCGTGCGTGAGTAGTCTCATTGAACTTGTCAAGCACATTTCACAAATGCTTTGCAAGGTCAGGGTTTTTATTTATTTTTAGCGCTTTATTTCCATTTCTTAAGACATAGATGAGTTTGGCTACTAATTTCTAGTTTTTTTTCCAGTTAATATGAAAAATATGATGTCATGTTAAAATCAAGATCGTTTCTTGGAAACTAATTAAAATTCCCATTTTATATGATGGTTAAGCAATTAACAAACTAAAGTGATCGAAAAATAAGACGAATTTCATTTTTTTCTTTTTTCTCCAAATCAACTTTATTGCCTTTTATCGCTTTAATTGACTTTCGCCTGATTGATCGGTTGTTTCCGGGTCGTATGCGTAGATTCAAATTCCATCTCCTATAATAATGCTTTTCATGACCTTTTTGCTCAACAAGATCACGCGTAGTAAAAATTGAAAGCAGATTTCTGAATATTGATCTTAATTTTTGATCACAGTATTGTTCTTTTTCTAGCGAGGAGGATTTATTCATATCCGTGCAGCAATCACTCAATGTGCGTTGAAGCCTTCACGATGTAAATGCATTCCCAATCAGGGTGGTCTTTATTGATTCTTTCGGTCTATAGCGACTGTCTACTGTTAATTCTCGTTCAAGTAACTTAGAACTGATAATGAAATGTGTTGATCTAACTCGACTTTCAATTTACTGATCAGATTGTTGTCATTAGTAATTTACTTGGGAGAAAACGCACAAACGTTCCTAAGATTTCCCCAAAAATTTTTTTCGGCTTATTTATTATCGAATAGAATGAGTCATGGACATCATTTAATATAAATCGGTACATGTAGAGCGCTCACTCTCTCTGAAAAACTTAGGGTACATTCTGGCATTACGATCGGTCGTTAGCCATTAAGATAAACAATGTGTATTCTTCCTATAGTTACTTTGATCTTGTATCAACTTCAGTGTTCCGAAGGAATAGTCATAAGATGCTTCGATACCACTTTTATTACACAGCAGAGTTATTTAGTTCGGCAAACCGCACAAGATAAAATGCCTTTTGACTTGCCGCCTTGTCTCTGCGTAGTCCCGCAGAATTAATGTTTCTTTGGAAACAACAAAATTAACGGTAATTTTTTCTTCGCCGGAGGAGACGTAGTGGAGTGAAATGTTTAAATCCACTGACACAAAGCATTCTTTTATTCATGCATTTTTTTATTGTTCATGGAAGAAAAAAAAAAAAAACAAAAGTTTTAGTCGGCTCAGGCGAATTTTTTATTATATGATTATCACGTACATCCTCGCAAAAGCAAACTTAAGATCTTATAAAATCACCGCAAACATTCTAAATATGGCACCGCTTTGTTTAATGCGTTTTCGTTTTAGTAATCGGTTCTTAGTTCGATTTAGCAAAATAATTGATTCTTGCCAATTACCGGGAACTGATTTATCCAATTTTCTTATGCGTGACACGCCGGTGCCATTAAATAATTTTCACAGATAGAAATACCTATTAGGCAAAGATCGTAAAATATATATATATACAATATATATGTATATATATTCAGAGTCAACATTATTTGGAATAATTGATAGTAACGCAATTAAAAATTTAAATAAAAACTATTTTGATCCTAAAGTATTTCTCAGTGCTCTCTCGTTATATTAAATTCAAAAATTGGAAGGGCGGGCGAAGGTGGGTTTATCGAATAGACACAATCTTGTTACACCGAGTTGATAATCAGCACTTACTCGATATCGACTGCTATAAACCGGCCCCAGCTAATTGCGTCCAGCTGCAGTTCGCAAGAGTATAGTCAATTTTCCGCTTGTGGAGGTGTCAAAAAAAGGGTTTGAAGGGTTTGAAATTTTTCGTTATTGAAATTTCCGCTCCAAGTTCGATGGACTTTTTGAAGTGCTGCTACCTGAATATTTGCGACCTGCTATATGATAAATTTCGACTATGGTTACTTTCTCCTATCAAATACCATACACTTACAAACTCGGTTTAGGCGGCTTTTTAACCTTAATCAGTAGAAGCGAAAGGGATCATACAAGTTGGCTCCCTACAGATTAGAAATCTTAATGGTCATGTTAACAGTCTGAGAGGCCGGCGAAAGTGTAATCACATTGATCCACAATGCTTACGGATATATTTTTCTGGCACCACCTTTTGGAGAACAAAGCGGAGAGAAGTTAATACAAGTTGTACATAGGTATGCTTGTACGTACATATTTATATCATTACAAACACAAAGTGATTTAAGATTTCAGGAAAAACGATCATAGGTCAATGTAAATCTCTGGAGGCGCTCTAGTGATTAGTGTTTTAACTGAGTTGTACCTATATATGAAAATATCTCATCCCATATCCCATATTGTAAAGGGCTACTAGAACATACCTCCAAAGGTAAAGATGCCCCTTTTTCAGTTTTTTGGTTTCACAACTGATGATATGTATGACCTTCAGTTTAAAATGGTACCGACGTGAATTATAATTAAACAAGAGGAGCACAAAAAAAACATCGTTAGCGAGAATTCGTAGTGATGTGGAAGATATGAGTATAAAAACGCAGACATTTATTCTCTTCTTTATATATATACATATATACAGGTACATTATACTCACCGCTCAAACGTGTGCGGTATATTTTATTTTTGTCATTCCACGTTTAACATTTCGTTTCAGCACTTAATTTTAACTTAGCTTTAAACACAGTTTCCTTACCATTTTTATTATCTGTGTTCTCGCAATTAACAACAATTTGAAAAAAGTAATAATTCTTATCTGATATAAATATATATATATATACATACAGATATATATAGTTGTCAATTATTAAGAAAAGCAGGAAAAATCGATTCGAAAAATAAATAATTTCAATATAAAGCATATCTGTCAGTTTTTATCAAGAGCAAGCATAAACGCTGGCTGGCAATTCGGCTACAGCTATGTTGATATTTTTCCCCGTTTCGTAAACCATGCGGAACATTTTGTAGATTTTTGCTTTTGGTTCTTTGTTCTTTTCTTCTTTCTTATTTCTTCTGTTCTGTTACTACTATGTATTTCTTCATTTTGCTTTATTTTCAAGTCAAGTCAAGTGAAGGGCTCATTAAAGTGCTCTTTCTTTGTTGTTGTATAAATGTACTTTTTTTTTTTTTTTATACTTTTTCTTATTCCGTTTAAGCACTTACTACTTACATACACTTATTCGTTCATTCATTCACTACTCACAAAGAAATGGTTGAACTTGTTCTTATTTATATATCATTCGATCGTAGTTCGTTTAGTTATTACTGCGACTTTCTTGAATGCTTTTCATTTTTTTTTTTTTTATTGCACGATTCTAAGTCTACGTGCTTACATGCGCTTATACGCGCTTTATATATTTATTTGCCTGTATTTTTCCGCAAGCATATATAATTTGCCTAAAGTATGACTCTGTAACATATAGAATAAATTGCTGGTCAATAGTTGCGAATCGCTCCAACAAACATCGTAAAGGAGACGACGTTATTATATTCTTTAAAGTATTGAAGTGGTATAAGCTTTTTGCTTTACCACATTGGAATTACTTTTTATGCGAACATTTTTAACGACTCTTTTATTATGTTTTCTTATTTTTGTTGCGTGACGAAAGCAAAAGTGTCATTAACAAAACATTCTTGTAATTTACAGTAATTTTGCATAAACCTTAATATCCGAACAAATAATTGATTCATTCAAGAGATCTCTTGTGTTAATCAACTTGGAAGGGCAAAGAGATGAAATATCCTAAGCAATTTTCATGGAGTAGACAGCAATGGCTGCGAGTTGTCGCTCTCCTCGTCCTTACAGTGGAGTGATTTGTAAAAATTGTAAAAATATTTGTGTATCCCCTGAGTGCGTAGTTCATTATGTTGTGCTGATTCATTTGACAATGGTCTTGGATCATGTAAATATTGCTATTGCCTGACTTTTTGAAACATAACATGAGCAACAACGGGACAACAGGTGATGATTGGAAGATATTGAGAAAAAAGGGGACAACAGATATATGAGAAAATGTCGTCGGAAGATATTGAGAAAATGTCGTTGATAACGAGATGTTGAAAAGTAATCAACATATCACTGCTAATAGACATGTGGTGATAAAACGTAAACTTTGAAGTCAATCTTGTTGCCTAGTTTGCTTCCAAATTTCCCGAATATGGCCAAATTGATTTTTTTTTTTTTTTTCTTTATAAAGAAATCGAAACAGCACTGGGAGAATTTCCTCCAGTTGTACACCATAGAGATGGACACAACAATAGTAGGGACATGAAGGCGTATTTATGTTTTCGATGGTATGAGTCCTTATCAAGTAATGCCTTCAGTTGTACAAGCCCTTACCAAAAACCATAATATTTAGGTATCATATAGCAATATAATTAATAAAAAAAGTTTCTTTCGAAAATCAAAATTTTCGATTCTCTCTCTCTCTCTAAGCGCCGTGTCAAATAATAAATCTAAATTAATGACTCTAAGGTATGCGTACGCGTTTGTTATACGATTATAAGTGCATTACCTTATATTATGCCTATCCGTTCAGTATATTTGTTGCCAGACCTATTTTACTATAACTTGTCTTCTTCATTTAGTATAACAGTTCGCACTTCATTGTAGGACAAAATAATTTCGCTCTCTTTTTGTCGATATCTATCTAGTGTCATTAGGCAGTATTAAGATCTGGTAGGGTTAGTTAACTTTGGTTTGTACTTCCGTTGTTCGTCCTTCAAATCACTTCTGAAAAACATAAATGAAAGGGCAATTTAAACAAAAATGCCTTACGCGAACCAACCTCTTTTAAGTATTACCGAATTAACTAATCAAAATGTGAAATTTATATTGGAAGACACCGATCTAAGTGTAGCCAATAGCTTACGCCGTGTTTTTATAGCTGAAACACCTACTTTGGCCATCGATTGGGTGCAATTAGAAATTAATACCACTGTTTTGGCTGACGAATTCATAGCTCATCGTCTCGGACTAATTCCACTAATTTCTGATCATACGGTAGCACGTTTGCACTTTACACGTGAATGTTTGTGTTCAGATTTTTGCGCCGAGTGCAGTGTGCAGTTCGATTTGCATGTAAAATGCGCTGAAGATGAGACCAAACTTGTAACAACAGCTGACTTAAAGTCGAGCGATCCGAAAGTTGTACCGGCAGTAGCCAGAGTTCAAGATGATGAAGACGATATTTTGATAGTGAAATTGCGCAAAGGTCAGGAATTGAAATTGCGCGCTTACGCTAAGAAGGGATTTGGCAAAGAGCACGCTAAATGGAATCCCACGGCCGGCGTGTCTTTCGAATATGATCCTGATAATGCATTACGTCATACCTTGTTTCCTAAACCAGATGAATGGCCGAAAAGTGAACATTCCAAACTGGACGATGATAAAGCTGAGGCGCCTTATGACTGGGAAAGTGAGCCAAACAAATTTTTTTTCAATATTGAAACGTCAGGGGCATTGACACCAGAGAACATCATTATAATGGGGGTGCAAGCGTTGAAGAATAAATTATCAAATCTACAAACGCAACTCAGCTGCGAAAATTATGATGCTTTAGCTGTATAGGAGAAATGAAATAAAATCTGAGGTCGTCTTATCTTAAACTCTTTTTGTTTTTTTTTTTCTTTTTTTTTTTATTTAATTTATTTCATTTATTCATTTGTTTAACTATTACATGAAGCCATAGGCCAATTTGTCAGTCATCATGGAGAATGCGTAAGAATACTAAATTGAACACGTAAGTGCAATTAGACTGAAAGCATGCTTAAGTTATTAAGTTGCTCTAGACATCACCACAATTACAATCTGCGTCTACTAAGGGGTGTACGAATTGAAAAATTAAGCGAATCTTCTTTTAAAAATATATTTGTGCGGTCATCAAAGGATTTTAAAGTTTGCAATGCCAGGAAGACAATATCAAAAGGAGTGAGATATAAAAATGTTCCTATACGGTCATGGAAGTTTTGTTAAGAAGTTGCGACCGACTGGTTTTGTAAAAAGAGATAGATAGTCTGAATTTTGGCTAGAAACTGATTTTAAAAAAGACGTGAACGTGGACAGAAGAAATCTGATCTCTAAGTTTGTCATTACAAGTAAGAAGTTTAAGCTTATCCAAGTTATAGCTCAACCAGCAGGAAACAATTTCAATGCAGTAATCTAGATGACATCCGGCATGATCTGAAAATGTGCAATAGCATATTTAACTTGTAGGGCCAAACACAACTTTTCGAATTATATATGTTTTTATGGAACTACTCTCAATGAGAATTCAAGATTGCACTAACTCTACAAAATCAGTAGAATTCTTTGTTATTTGTAATAACCATTGAAGGAACAAGCCAAGTTTGGGCCACTAACACGTGCTTCTTTAATTTAGCTTTCGAACCCAGGAATATCGTTTGCTTTACTGCAATCAAAAAGGCCAAGTTTAAGACCAAGGCCAAGATCGTCTAGCAAACAATTTACAATCTCTATTAACAGAGTCAGAAAGATGATTCAATAATTAATTACGACAAATACAGTCCAATCACAAGAGAGGAATTTAAATCATTCTTCCATAAACTTGTCTGCACAACAAGAGAATAGGATTTTTCACACAGTCAAAGTTTTGAATCGAAGCTTTTATGGTTTGAGTGAAAACCAACTTATGAATGATGCAATGAATCAATTTGTTCCATGAGAATATGCATCTCCGGTGAAACAAAATATTGATATATTTTTTATGAATTAGAAAATTTATAAGAAGCTTGTATGGTCTTAATAAGACATAGTTCGTGTATAAGGAAAGACCAAATTAACAAGTATAAGGGACATTAGGTCATTTTTCGAAGAGCACTTTTTTACTCTGCATTATAATTTTCGGCAATATTTTACTGTGGCTATAACGTTATTGAACATATGACCTTTAGTTGATTTAAGACGATGAACTTATTAAACGCATTTGCGTTCGCCTTATCAGGGTTATTACCATCACCTTCTGATTACGAGTAGTTTTCCTATTTGTTTCGAATTCGCTTTGTCAAAAAGATTGGTGTAGAGTTTGGTTTTTCCATATTTTACATCAGATATTAGATAAGATTAGGCAACTTGCAATGTTTTGGCCAATCAACAACATGTAGAGAAGATACTGACAATATCTCGAAGACTCGCTTTAGTTGTTTTACTACAAGTGAACGGGTAGGATTAGTACCTCAACCTGGTAGTCTGCGCAATTAAAAATAGGGGACTGCAGTCAATTCGACAGAAGTAAATAATTATTTTATTGGGCGTTAGTTTTCTTAAAATTCTTCAAACGGATGACATGTTCAACCCTGTTGTGTTACCATTAAGAAAGAGCGATAGACAAGTTTACGATTGATGTGAAATTGAAAGCGCTATAGCCTGATCGTATTGGTGAAATTGTCAAAATACTCGCAGTCATGCGAAAACTTAATAAGTGAAGTAGATTGTTGCTGACGGTACAAGTTTGCAATCAAAGGCTGCGTCTCGAACGGCATACGTCTCGTATATTAATAAATTTCACCGATTGAAATAAATCGAAATTAAGGTTTCTTGTTATCATAATAATACCCCCGTCCCACAGTATAAGTCATTACGTTTGCTTTTAAAGAAGGATATGCCACTTCTAGGTAAGCAAATCAATGGCATCAAGCGGATATTATGAGCTTTTAATTCAATCAGCACAAGCAACTTTAGAAGCAATATATAGAAATCAGCCTTCCTCCCATCCCTAACCTCTAGCTAGAAATCGATAATTTTTGGATATGAAATCGATCTTCTTCGAAGTGTGATTTTATGACATGCATACAATCGTTGTCTGCAAAGATTGCCATCGCTAACAGCACAAGGCTTTCGAGTTCAAAGTTCAATAAAGTTTTCAATTTCTACTCATGTAAAAATTACCCTAATCAGTCTGTTGAGCCGTCCAATATCCTCAAACAGTCACAATAGGTCGGTTTAAAATGGTTTCTCTATAGAAGATCTTTGGATTCTATTTTAGTTTATATTACGAAAATCAAGTAAAGCAGAAAAAAGGAAAAAAAGGTCACAGAAAAGCCAAAAGGCACTTGCAAATAATCAATGATAATCTAATTGTAATGGCGGTTCGAAGCATCTGAACTATAGTGTTGGTGAGAATGTACAGTTGGTGTGTGCAGAAGAGACGTTAGTTAGTTCCAAATATTTACTTCGAATGGTAAGCAATAAGAAAATTCCAAGTAAAATGTGTTAATAGTAAAATTGACTTTGTTAGTTGATATTTTAATTATATTTATTGTTATCATCTTTTTTTTTCTTTTTTTTTTGAACACAAAACATTATTATTTTAGGTGGTGATGTTGGTTGTTTGTTTAGCTATTTTGGTTAATAGTGTCTTTGTTTCTTCTTTTGATTGTTGTTGAGTGAACTTGTGTGTGTGTGTGTGTGTTCGTCGGGTGATCGTTCGGATGACTTCTTGTTTGCCGCTATTGACATCACATGCTATGCTTGGCATATTAAATTGTTAAATTCAAGATCATCATGAATATATTTAAGAGTGCATTGACTCCTTCTCAACTTTTTTTTGCTCTTCCCCCGTACGGGGCAATATATTGTCTTATTTCATTTGCTTTTGTTCTCAACTTTGCTGCCTTTTTTAGTTACGCTTTTGTGAGAGAGAAAATCCATTCCATTCAATTCAAGAGAGTTATAATATACTGTAGAATAAGTTAAGTTTTATAAAAGTTGAAAACTTTTCAGTAAATGATGGATGGTAAGATGAATATATAAAATTGATGATGAAATTTCTTTAAATGTCACCTAAATGTATAAATTTTGAGCTTTCCGTTTAAAGTGATTGATACTTTTTTTTTACGCTAATATATAATTTATTTTATATCGAAGAAAAGATCGACTTGAGAGTTTAACGTGAAAACTTCTTAAAAAGATTCGATATATATTTACATTTTTTTTTTGTTCAACGGTCACCTCTCTCTCTCTCTCTTTGCCTCTGCGATTTCAAAGATGTGGTAGTGTCTACACAAGGAAGAAAGCTGAAGTTTACTATAAAACGAATAAAGAAAATTATGCACACCCCGGGAAAGATTCTCTACAGGTTCTTTTCAATCCATTATATAAGAATTGTCAAATATTTTTGTTATTGTGTCTTGTCAATTAGTAAAACGAATCATTTGCCTGAACAAATATTTACACGAAAGATCGCAAGATTCGTTCTCTTGCAGAGGGCGAGAAGTGTTTCTTATCAGATTCGTTATCAACCTAATCTGTCGCCATCAAGGGTAAATGTGCTACGCTGTGTTTCACGATTCCTTCTTAACTTTTGCAATCAACAACCGACTCCAAACCATGTGGCGGATCGATGGACGTAACTGATGATGATTACAAATGTGTATAATAGATGTTTGCACGTATTTTGATCAATTTTTCACTTGAAAAAGATAATTGTTGAGGATAATTGGTACAGTGTATATTTTATTTAAAATATTTTGCATCATTTTCTAGAGCCTTTTCCCATCTTTCTGGGAGCATGGGTATATCTTGTTGATAGAACGATATTGGTTTGACAGCGATCCAATCGTCGATCCCTTTTCGCCCTTCTGCACTGTTTTGAAATCACATGCTAGCCAAACCATGCTGGATCGATCTGAACAAGTGGTAACCGGAAGTTGCTGGATCTGCTGGGCGTGTTTAAGTTTATCTTTGACAACCCTTACAACGTGTGGCCGATTTTTGTCGTGCGAAATAATGACTTTCGTCTGTTAACCGGTCTTTTTAGTAGCAATACATCGTTCAATTTGTTCAATTGGTGTTGGTAGACATCTGTAGCAACAGTTTCATCCGATTTTAAGAGCTCGTAACACACTACACTTCGCTGTTGATGTAAGTGGCTCGCATGGAGTAACGCATGACCTTTTGCGCCTGGGATTGTCAAAGTAGACCCAGTTTTTCATCGCCAGTCTACAGTCAGACTACAGAAAACTGTTCTCGGTTTGCCTGTCAAGCAATGAAACCCCAATGTTGAATGGCATTTTCAGTCAATAGTACCTCTTCCATCGCATGTAATCGTCTAGGAAAAGTTGATTCATCAATTGCTGAGCTGTTCGAAAGTGGAAAGCTGGGTTTTCGTGCAATAAGTTTTGCAGTTCATTGTGTTTGAACTTTTGTTTGGTCCTCCAGACCTTGAAATCAAAACCGAAAATTGGGATTTGGTGAAGCTTGTAAAAGTGTTTGATCGGCTTCGGCAACAGATTTCTTCAACTCAAACAATAAAAGTTATGAATATCGAAAATTCAATTTTGAGCGTTCCATGATTAGCGTCTATCTGAATAACTCAACAATATTGAATAGTAGAAAACTATTCTTTTATGTTAAGAAAGATCAAAATGATCGAATTTAATCATTGATTGATACTTCGCATTATTTTATTATATTCACCAATCACTGATCAAGGTAGATACAAGCACCTATTAGTCTTCTTCTTTGGTTATCGATGCAAGACATAGCCAGACTTTCGTTCTCCTTTCATTAAAATATTGTTGGTACGATTTTTTAAACTGTATTGGCAACTCTGTGTAAATGAATGAAATTAAAAAATCCACTGTTTTCAAAACTGTATATTTTTTCCAAACTGTATGACTGAAGAATCGAAACGGCATTAATATGAACAAAATCCTGTGATTTGTTAGGTCAAGGAAAACATTTTTTCGCAATTTTTTATTTGATGGATTTGGTAACACTAATCGTGCCAAGTTACACTAAAGCGATGTGATATCCGGAAATTCGTGGCTAATTAAAAACAAACACATACATCACATTTATTAACGCAAGTGAAGGTAATTGCGCTTTAACACTAAGCTATAATTCTAAAAAAAAATCGTTTCGCTAGAAATTTCGATATTAAAGACATAACGCATTCAAGTCTTCCAATTGTCGATAAAAGTTGATCAAATTCTTAAAAAAAATTGAGAATTATTAGCATGCTTTGCCTTGTGGAAGGCACTGTATTAAAGTCAGCGCAGCACGCAGTAGCCACTCTGGAAATTTCTTAAAAAAATTGATAAAAAAAGAAAGATCGGCAGTATTGATCTAATAAGATCGTTGTAGAGCTAATCAATGACCAAAAAATCGTTTCTGACCATTTGCATAAGACTAGATCAAGAGAAATTTAATAAACCGAGTGATGCGAATGGTTCGTATCCGGCGATAAAGATTCCAGTTCAAGATGGATGAAGTTGCACAAACGGCACCGAAGCGCGAAATGATGTTACGTAAGGTAACGCTTTGTTTTTGGTTGAATTAGAAGCAGATCACGCATCTTGATGTAATCCAACCTCGCCATATGACCGATACTATTCTCAACTGAGAAAAGCTGTCAATCCGCGGTTCAAGTGGTTAATAGGAGTTAACCGTCCAGAATTGGTTGACAGGAAAACCACGGTTTCCCATAGTAGCAGTGTTAAACCATACAAACTTCTATTATTCGGCCTACCATATGACTTGACCGGTGCGCTACCACTTAATCTGGATGCCGCCCTGATTATCATAAGTTTTTCTGCAGAACTCACTTAATGGCGTTAAGAGGCCTATCTGAAAATTATTTGCATAACATTCTTGCCCAAAAGGAGCTCGCCGAAAACGGCATAATCGTTTTACGCGAAAAATTCCGAAAGCTGATCAGTCACAATGGGGCGTACGTGCTTCAATGCGGTTCGTGGATCTCCTGGGATAAATGTCCATCATAGTTCACGGTTTTTTCGTGCTAATACGACATCAGCTGGAATAACAAATAAACTTTTTTTTTAAACGGCATTTAATGGGACTAGATAACCTTTATATCATATAATTGTATGAAATATGTGCATTTCATAAGGACATTTTGCATTATCCGCCCAGCATTGTAATGCTTTGTCTTTGATCGGATCGAGAGAGAATCGCACATTTCTAGTTACTCCAATCTGTATGATTGACAGCATTCTCTACTGTCAAAAATTGTTAATCTGCAATTAAACTGTGCAACTGAGGCAAAGCGTCCACAATCGGTCGATAGGAAACACGTCAGCTTACATCGCGACACCAATAGACCGCACAAATGTCTGTGATTTGGCTTCGTTCCACATACGTTGAGTGTTGTTGGTCTACCACATAATCTGCATACTACTCCAACTATCCTACATTCCGCTGCAGAATCCCTTTAATGGTATTAAGATTGGTTGTTTGATCTTTGAACTTTATGGTAACAAAAAAAAAGCAAAAAAAAACACCATTGTATCATTCGCAATCTATTGTTGAAATGAGTTGCCTTCTTTTCTTACTAGACTTTGACTAAGAACTTTCCAATTGGTTTGCATTAAGGAAAAGTTAAATAAGTGGTAAGCAATTTCGAGGGATTTCTTTGCAATAAAACAAAAGAATGCCTAAGAATATCATTGTTTTTTTTTGTTTTTTTGTTTTTAGCTTATGTAAACAGAGAAAAACACATTTCTCTTACGTCAAGTGTTGAGACACACGCCCTTACTTTTGCCTAATAATTTTATGGTTTCATTCAATACACTTAAAAATACATTTCTTTGAAAAGAATTTTATTGTTGTTGTTGTTGTTGTTACGAAAATGAAAAACGATCCCCTTCCCATCAGATTATGAATTCGCATTGGTGTCGTGCGTACGTAATGGTATTATTCGCATCAAAACATAAGAATTTTGAAAACACGTTACACCCTTATTGAGAGCTCTGATTACTAGCGAATAAGATGAAGGAACTCCATAAAAAGGAGGCGAACGAGCATGTAGTCAATTTAGATTGCGTGTATGTGCATGTGCGCTGAACAATTTATATATGTAATCACTCAAAGAAAAAATTCACTGCATTTGATAGGCGACGACGACGAGAGTTCAGTTACGTGACAAATTCTACTTTTACTTGAATTTTTTTTCCAACAACAAGCTCTATAATTGTTACATCAAAGCGACATTTTTGTCTTTCTAGTTGAAAAACTTGTTTTTTATTTTTTTTTTTTTTATATAATTTCTGTTCTTCTGGTTTTTTCTTCCCGTTTTTTTATTTATTTATTTATATATGTGGATATCATTTGCAAAAAGTTCGAACATAACCTTTCTCAATTTTCCGGTTCTTAACTGTATACTTCCTGTTTGTTTTTTCTTTTTTTTTTTTTTTTTTTTTAGTGTTCAACTAAATTACTTTTATGGCTTCAATAAAAAGAGAAGAAAACATTATTCGCTTATTAAATTTCTCTCCTCTCGATCAACAAATTTATTATTATTATTATTATTATATATTTATAGTTACTTGTAGGTATATATATATATATATATATATATATATAACCTTTGTTGCCTTGTACATTCGGTCCTTATGCTTAAAATTCATGTGTCACCGAAAAAAAAAAGGACAGCAGCTGCTACTGACAGCTGCTCTTCTCAAATAGGACATATGATGGTGGTGTGGCTTGCGATAGTGCACGTAAACCTCCTTAAATACAGTTGATGTTTTTTCGTCTTTTTTTTATTTTTATTGTTTTTTTCTTATGTATATTCAGTAATAAAAGCCTGTTTAATAATTGTACGGTCATGTTCAAAATAATATTTTGGAAAACACTACGAACGGTACGGATATGAAATGGTTATGCGATCGTATCGTATAAGTTCTTGCTGTCATCAGCAAAAATATCAATTTACACAATTAAGATAATAGTTTTAAGGGAAATTAGTAAATTCCTATGAAATTTTCATATAAAACCAGATGGTGGTGTTATGTTGCGATAAAACGTGAACGAAAAGGACCTACATTGGTTAATTAGTGGTTTGGTTGTTTTGCAACTTGCAATTGATCCTTAGATTAAATGTATTTCAATTTCTCAGAATATTAATTTTTTTTCTTCTTCTTTGTTTCTTTCCAGATTGATTCGTTCGAACCATTGAAAGGTAAGAAAATTGTAAATTGACGAATAATTTTAAACTTGTGTAATAGATGTCCCTGTAAGTACATCCAATTTCCCATATCGTGCAGGTAAAAGCTGGTCTGTACCGGTTTCTGTCTCCTGCTGCCTTCTTAAAAGTGAAGATAAAAAACCGAAATTTCGAACATATATTTCTGAATCAAATCCATAAATCAAGAGGTGCGCCGGCTATGTCTATAACATTGTAAAGAATAGAGAGGACTCCCTTATAATATGGTACACGCGTTCCATGTTATGTAATATCGTGTTGTACTAATCACTTAGATCCTACAAATGCATGAACCATTCACTGCCCAAGGCTTACTTACATAACTTACGTGTTGTTATTAGAACAACTTTCTTTAATAACCAGACGTACGACAGTACATGACAGTAATTTTTGTGGTTATTAAATAATAATAATGTTTTTCTTTTCACAAGAGAGAAAGAAATATTAGGTCGAGCCATAAGTAAGTTCCGCTTTTTTTATCAGACACGTACTGCTTTGCTTTCATTGAATAACAAAATTATATTAATTGATATTAGTTGATTGCGAAGAATATAACCTTTTGTCTATAACTCTTGTTGATTGGCGTGAATATTATTTTGCTCTAATATTGCCTTTAAAAGATTGTCGTCCAAATCGGAGGGACGTCTCGACCTCGATTCATCTTTTTAGGCTGTATCTCCAGAACGGAATTTTACAAACCAATTTTGAACTGCCCGATCAGTCCTGTGTGATTTCTCTAATCAAAATCTTTTCAAAATCTCGTTCGAATTTTTTCGGACTCTTTCTAAAATTACATTTTCCATCAGGGTTGGTTGAAGATTTCCGATAAGTTCATTTAAACATATTCTTTTTATATCCTGAGAGTATCTCTAAGCATGTCCATTCGTCTGTCTGTCTTGTGTTCTTGTGTTCAACTTACAAGTCGCAGTTTTTGAGATATTTTGAAAAAATTTGGCTCACCGATATCGGTTGGCCTAAGCATAAACGCTAACGAAAATAGTTCAGATCGGATCATTTTTGAAGCCACTTCCTATGCGACACTTTATTTTGAAAAGTCGTTATATGAATGATTGCAGGGTAGAGTAAAGTGGTGGGCTGTGTTCTACTATAGTATCGTCACTAGTTCCGATTAAACATGAAACTTTTTCGCTCAGATGCTCCCTTATCATGCAAAATTCAATATGTCCACAATTGCCAACATACCGCTATAGCTGTAGACATGTAGATTGCATGTTTTGTAAATTCAAATTTTTACTAAAAGAAACATTGGCCGCAGAGTTCTTTAAATAAAAGGTGTCTAGCGAAAATGGTCGGTGGTCCACTAGTCACTACTTACTATTCTACTGTTACTATTCCATTTGGTCCCAAAAAGACTGTCAGCAATAGTCTTCTTTTAAAAGGTAGTACGCGGAGCCGCCTGAAAGGAAAAGTTCTCCGTTTTTGTCAAGCAGTAATTAAATCATTTTTGTAACCTTCTAAAGACATCGTTCGTAAAGAAACGAAGGACTTTAAATAGGGCATTAAAAAAAAGTTCGTAAAGAAAGCAAGAAAAATTTCTCAAAGCTAACTTGCTTTCAAGGGATTATGCAAGGAGAAGAGCAATTTATGTTTAACTTGTAAATTATTAAAGATATTGGAAATCATTATCGGGATATTTTCTTTCTTTCTTTCTTTTGCGCGCCTTACTTCTATCATTTGCTTCATTCTCTCTACGTCTTCGAACTAGAGTTTCGTATTTCATTCGCTAATTCCATTTAAATCTAGTCCTTGTACCTGCACAAAGTCGTAGATGAAAAAGGTCACCCTTTCAAGGCTAAGCCTACTACTAGTATAGGTATTTCAAGAACTGAACTAAATTCTGATGAAGCTTGGTTCCTCTATTCGAAATGTAAGGATTCGGATTCATCGCACACATTAAAGTCAAGCGACGGAATAATGCTGAGATTAAAATGTGCATAATCTGTATAAAATTCATTAAGTTGACAAACCTTGATACGCAAACTCGTGGGAGAAAAGCTAAAAGTGAAAAAAAAAAAAACAAATTCGCAATTTCATATTTACAAACTTAATATTCAAGTAAGTAACAATGACCTACATCAAGTTATTTACTGCAAATGGGACGAGGTGTGGATCAATCTCTTAATCGAAATCTTTCGTATTTAATGTAACTTTTGGTTTTTTTTTTTTTTACCGAAGCATAAATGCTCTGTTTAAAGAGAAAATGACAAACAACGTAATGACAAATCGTAAGCAATAGACATCAAGGCTAAGGTAGCTAGCTTCCTATAATTTCGGAATAGCACGACATGTGTGTAAATGAGCTCTTACGGACGATTCGCCCGCTCTCTTATAATTATAAACAACGACACAAAATCGAGACTAAAACCATTAATTTTAAAAATAAAACAAAAAAAAAAAAAAAAAATGAGAACAAAGAAAAACATTAATCTAAACAGAATAAATAAATCAACAAAAAACTTAACGCAACGTAACAAAATACAATGAACTTAAGAAGTAAGAAGAAGTAAGAAATCACTGCACAAACTTGGTTCTTTTCCACTAAACAACTAAATACAAGAAAAACTTCTATTGTATACATATATATATATATATATGTATATATATATTGTATACGTGCATGAAAACCAGATAATTAAGAGAGGAAAAGAGAGAGAGCAAGAGCGAGAGCAGAAAACGACAATGAACTTACTATGAATAGAAAGAAGGAGTTTAAGAACTGTGTGTGCGAATAAAATCACTGACCTTGACTTTTAAGTTGAAGTTTAAGGCCCTTTATAAAAAAAAAACAAAAAAAAAAATGTATATAAGAAAAATTAACATGAAAAACGCTACAAATGCGAAGTGAAACGCATCTTAAAATGTGTAAACCAAAATGCTATGAGTACGAGAACTGTGCAAGTACGTACAGCGGACAATATTTATATGTATGTCTGCATATCCCAAGAGCCATTGTTCATTGGACAAGCATATAACAATAAACACACACGACCGTGGTCTGGTTTCATCATCATACACGCAAAATTGCATTGCTTTGCCGCCTTACCATCATCGCAAAAATATTAATGAAGCTTAAAAGAATGAATATTTGGTCTTTAACTGAAACTTTATTACGCAGTTTCTTTCCATTGCTTGCTTTTATGTATATACTGCCCAAGATGGATGTAGAGTGCAGCGATCTTGAGATTCATAATTATTGTATACGCTATTGTTTGGTTTTTAGTTATTTTTTAACTGGTCGTTGGTTCTACCATTTACTTGACTGCACTGATGACGATAATAATGGAACAGCAGCCAAACATTGCCCTCACCAACGCCATCAAGATTTGCTGAACGTTGAACTCCATATATTCTACCTATTCTATAGAATTGTACATACATACATACATACATATATACATACATATAAATAATCATTCAGACATAAAAAAAACAAATATATATATATATATATACATACATACATATATATATATGTGCATTTATCCCGTCCATCCATCTATCCAACCAGTCAGCAGCAGTCTGCAGACCAACTCATCAGTCAGGTATCAGATTGTACACTCTAAACTTCATGATTATTTGATGTTTAAGAATTCTTTGCTCCTTTTTTTTTTTTTTTTTATATTTTTCCATTGCTGCATTTATTGCTTGTATTTTTAGTATGTGCTTCTTGCGCTCTCTTCTCTCGCATTAATACATAACAGTTTTTTAACATATATACACTTGAGTAGTATTTCACTGAACAATTTTTATTATTTATTTATTTGTTTTTTTTTCTTCAGTTTTATAGGCGCTGTCGGCAACATAATTATGTTTACGAATTTCAAGTTTTTATTTTGTTCGAGTCGAGTCGAGTCGAGTCGAGTTTTCTTTCTGTGGCGTTGTAGTAAGTAGAAAAGTACAAAAGTACAACATTCAGTGGATGGCATCATCTTGCACTCACTACTCTAATGCATATTAAAGCTATTCTTCTCTCTATTATGGTAGGACTAAAACTTTAACCTACCGATTTTCTTGTTGATTGTGTTCTATATAATAGTGTTCTTTTGTACTTATTGAATTGAAAGTTTTATATTAATATTTTTCTTTTGCTTAAAAAACAGCTTTTCTTATTGCACGACATAATCGTGATATTAAACAGGAATTTTTTTTTTTTTAGAAAAGCAAGCGAGAAAAAGAATTAACCAAATGAGCAACAAATAATCGCAGGTCAGTTACACAGAGAATATACGAATTCCTACAAGAAGGGGTTAACAACTTGTTTTTACAATTCCAAGTTTGTTCAGAATAATTTTGTGAAAATGAAATGCATTTACCAGCGTTCAGCCACCGTTCACTAAGACGCTCAGAAGAATTCAAAGTTAAAACTTCAATATGACATAAATCATATAGAAATATTTCATTAAAAAGTTTGCAACTCTCTTTACATATTTCCTCGAACTCGTGGGAGAATCGAAGATTGCTTCAAGCTTAGCAAAAAAAACTTTCAGAACTTAGAAGAAATTGGTTGAAGTTTATTGACTTAGAAGGAAAATATTGGGCTGGACATTGTATTTATGGTTAAATTAATGAAGCATTATAATTCTGCCCCGATATTGTTGGATCACGTTTCTTTTATTCTTCCATCTACAGTTCTTAGGCAGGCCATTGCTGAGATTCACACAATCCCATACTAATTCGTCTTCCGTATAATCCATATCGAGTCTTATGCGTAATACTAAATGAGAATTACAACACCCGTTGCACCCGGTGCACCCGTTGCACCCGTTGCACCCGTTTTTCATTCCCTGCAGTGTATTAAATGGAAATCTATATTGATCGACTCAAATCCAAGTTTTAAGAAAATTCAATTTAAATGAATGTTGCTGTGTTAAGCAATATATTAATTCTGAGACTTGATGAATTCAATGCATACTCTTTTGTAATGAGATAATTTTTTTCCATTAACTTTATAATTC